CTTACTAAGTAAAAATATATCACCTCTACTTCTTATGCCATACTCTCCATGCCTATTACCTCATGAAAGAAAGAAATTAGGTTGGCTAGACATGACTTGTTGTTGGCTATTCCCTTTTAGCTGATTACAAATTGAGTTTTTTGGTTATTTATTCCCATATTTTACTGGAAATTGAAATTAGGTCAGCTGATCTATAATTTCCTGGGTCCTCCTTTTTCTCCTTAAAGTTAGATACTCTGGGCATTTTTGCATGTGTTGCTGATGTGGTGCTGGGTACTTTTAATTAGTGAGCTGAGAAAATGGTGGTGATGCGCTTTGAACCAGAGCACATCGTATATGTTGTAGTGCAAAGTGCACCACCACCATTTTCTCTGCACAAAGGAGCACTGCACCGCTGATACACATGACATGTGAGGCTGCCAGGGCACGTCCATTCAGGTGCTCCAGCAGACTTGATGTATTGAGTCTGCTCTGACCGGAGCAGGCTTCTAACGTGTGTAAGTGCCCTCTGTCCTTTGACAGTCTTTGGAAGCTCATTTGTTCTCCATAAATTCTTAAAGATAATTGCTAACAGTTTTACGGCTGCTTCAGCAAGTTCTCAGTTTGTACCCCGAAGTTGATCAAGCATGGCTGTTTTCAGAAAACCTAACTTTCCTAAATAGCCTCTAATATGCACTTTTCCTATTCTAGCCAGAATTCTTACATCATTGTTGCTGATGTTAATTGTGTTAGATGTCTGATCAAAGATAACCATTTTAGTAAAGACTAAAGCAAAAAAAGACATGAAATACTTTGGCCTTCTCAATGCGATCTGTTATTAGTGTTTCTTCTTACGGACCAACTTTTTCTTTGGTCTTTCTCTTACTTTTAGAATAAAGCTCATGACTAACCCAAGTTGGTCTATTACTATTCTTCTAATCTCTCCTTCCCATTGAGATCCTTTCTATCCGAGTCCTTAATGTTATTATTTTAACACACTGCACATTCTCCTGAACTTTTTTTCCCCTGGCATCTACTTCCCATTGGTAGCTGCCCATTCCCTGAGTCTGTGATCTTGAATTCCCTTGTCTTTATTCTTTTGTTCTCCCTCCATTCCTTCCCAAGGATCATAACCTCTGTCATTTCACAGTCACTGTTACCCAGATTGCTTTTAACTGTTCCAGGGGGCTGAAAAGGTACTTGCTCTTTACAGAGAAGAAATCTGCATTTCTTGCAGATGGACTTTTTAAAAACAAATCCTTTAAACCTTTAATTTGTGTAATTCTTTAATTTTCGGAACTATTATTTTTCTATATCAATCTAAAGATACTTTTGTACCATAATGACTAAAAGAAAATTGTTAGAAGTTCCTCTCAAGCTCAGAGTAAAGATGGAACATAGGTTAGGAACAAGATAGATAGTGATTACACTGATAATCTGAAAGTAGTTATCACAGTCTCCTGGATTCAGCAAGTTAAGAACAGATTACCTGTATAGAGTTTTTCAACAAATCTTTTTTAGATTTAGCTATATGCCTTCATGTTGAATTTATTTTCCTAAAAATCCATGCAGCATTTGTGGCTTGTTTCTTTTAAATTTGTATCATTAATAGCTAGTACTGGGAAAGTGTGTGCTTTAAAAACACCACAACTGTAGTACAGTATAAAAATAGAAGGATAAATACATTAATAAATCGTCAAAGAAGCAGGTGTAAAAACACATCATCGAGCAGTCAAATTTTAATTTTTTTAAATGCAGTTGACAATTAACTACCTACCAAATACAGAAACATCTGGAAATTGTTACCAGTTGAAACGAAATCTCTTAGATTTTTCTTTCAACCAAACAGTATGTTTAAATAAGTTTAGGACTCTATTCTTCTACAGATGTGCAAGGGAGCCATAAGCTTAATTCTGATGATTTCTCAATAATTTCTGAATAAATCATCGCTTAACAAAGGAAGGCTTTGTTCCCAATATAAGCCATTTTTTAAAAAAAATTATCAGTTTTTATATGTTCATAAACACCTTTATGACCCTTATATTTAAGTTTTCATGGGAATTATATATCCTTGTCAATCTTGAGTTAAATTGCACAAATCCACGTCATGATTCATTTTCTTCGTTGTTCAATATGTGACAGTAATTTTTTATGGAATCAGAAATGGAGAATAAACTGTAAACTGCCCATATAAAGCACTGTAACCAGGAATCAAACTCCTGAGGAAGGCAAACTCCTGTTCATAGTAATGTCTCTTTCCAGCTAGCCATCTACTTCTAACAATGAAACACCAGAAAACAGCACAAAGAATGCTGTAGTTACACTGGGGTTTTCTTGTTTTCTCAATGACAGAAAAAAAACAAGTCTACATTTTAATTATTTTAACTGCCTTGTTACCATGTAACAAGGCCCTAACTCATCTGAGGGCCTTGTTACATGGTACTTTTGGGCCACTCCTGGAACTCTAAACCCCCTGGACTGGCCACACATGAACACCTTAAACTAGTTTTAAACATTCATTATGTGGCTCAAAATTATGCCATGCCAGGGTAGGATTCTCTCTGATCAGTGCTACCCAGCTCCTGTTACACTAAAAGTGCAGCCACTCTATGCTACACCTTAGAACAGGGGCTGGCAATTATTTTGAGCAGAGGGACATTTACAGAGTTTTGGCAAGCCATCAAGGGCTGCGTGACAGGCAGCCCAGGACAGATAAATATTAATTTGCTAAATTTTTAGGGGCCCCACGGGCCAGATAGAATGGCCTGGCAGGCTGCATCTGGCCCCCAGGCTGCATTTGGCCCACTTCTGCCTTAGAGGAAACATGCCACCTGCTCTCGCTCCCCACTGCCATGGATTGAGCCTTGCACTCCCCAGCACTCCAGATCCCTGCTCCCCCACCCCCAGCTTACTTGTGGCTGCCCACACTGTCGGTTCTGGGGTGCAATCAGGGAAGGGTTAACTCTAGTTCTTCTCCATCCCTGGGGCTCCCCCTCTATCTCCCCCCACCCCCGCCACATACTTTGGCTGGCTCTGATGTCCCTACAAGGGGAGTCGGCAGGGAAGGGTTAACCTGTCTGCCCTACTGCCATTGTTATTGCTAGGCTGCTGCTTTTCTCTAGGTTGAGCATGCCTACAGAATGGCAGTGTAGGCAGCAGTCGGGTAGGTAATGCAGTCTTTAGTCTTGCCTCACTTCTGCTTACAAGGGATTCAGAGGGTCATTGCTTCACAGCCTAATGGATCTCTTGTATAGAATGTTGTAATGGTTTGTTCCAATATCGTGTCCTAGATGTGTACCTAAGATTGCCATGTAAAGCAATGGGACAGAAAGGCAAAATGATTTAGTGATGACTACACTAAACTGGGATTTACAGTTTCTGTGCTTTACTCCTGGCTCTGCCACTAACTCTGTATGATTACGTTTCCTGGTATGCCAGTGCAGCTACCTTACCAAGGACAGAGTTAAGAGTTACTTATCCCTTCTCCCAGTCTCCATGATCCTGCTTGTTGTTTTTCTTTGATATCAGGGCTGAGATCAGCAAGTGCAATAAAGCACAGGGGTGCATCTTATATCCCTTCACTTCCATTTTCACACTCAAAAGCCAGGTCATAATTTGGCTGAAAATGACCAAAAACTGCATTAAACCCAGATTTAGCAATGCATTTAAAGCTAGTGAAGTTACTGAGACTGTTCACATATATCAGAATACCTTGCTGAGTTGCAATCTGAAGGAAAAAAAGACAGGACCAAATTAACAGAAAATAAGCCCCCCTCTACAAGTTACAGGCATTGTGGAATTAACGGGTTAACTGCATAATTACATTGAGACCAGCTATATGTGCAAAGGAGCTCTCATGCCAAGAAAGCTCCAACCAGCTATAAAGTTAGACTCCCCTGCCCCGCAAATGTGTACTAACTTTATAGCTCATTGCTATCAGGCTTTAATTGGCATGTACAGCAGGGTGTCCCCTGTGGTTGGGAGTCCCATCTACTGGCAGGGCTCCCATCAGCATGGGTGCATCATAGTCAGTCAGGGTTGAGAATCCTGCAACTGAGGGAATCCTGCAACTGCCAGGGCTGGTAATCGTGCTGCTGCCAGTTCTGGGCCCAGTGTTCTGTAGCTGTAGTGGCTGGGTGCCAGGACCCAGCTAGGCCTGCAGGATCATGGTTGCCATGATCTCCCAGGCTTGGGGATGCATGAAGCCCCTGGACCTGCAGAAACAAGGACGCTGCAGTCTCCCAGGATCAGGGATATGTGGAGTGCCCCCACTGCTGGAAGCCCCACAATTGGGCTCTCCCTGCCCTGGCAATAAGGCATGATGAGATCTAATGTGCCATCCCACAATTATGCTTCCTGCCATGGCAGAAGGTGCAATTGTGTAGATTGCATGCTAGATCCCATTGCATCTTTACCTGAATGTATAGAGGGGGCCCTAAATCATATCAAGTTACATTGAGTACTAGAAAAGGAAAAATCTGAATAATCCAATTGTGATGTCAGGTCATTTTACATTCATTAAAGAACACTGATTGCACTGGTTTATACTAATCTGCACTGTTGTGGTCTTATGGAAGCCAACAGTATGCAGCTTTTACCCCTTACAATAATTTAAAATAGTCAAATGGATGTGTGTGTGTGTGTGTGTGTGTGTGTGTGTGTGTGTGTGTGTGTGTTTAATTTATACATGAATTGCCTTTGTTCCTGAGCAACCACCCTGTGTATTTCATTTTATTCTTGAACACATCTTTACAGATGAGTTACAAGCTTCTGGAAATAATTATATCTCCATGGAATAGTGACAGTATAAGCACAATAAAACCTTCCAACCTGAAAAAAACCCCAACCAAACAAAAACTTATTTCTCCTTTCCATATTCCAAACTTTTTTTCTTTTTGATTCTACAATTTTTTAACTGCAGACATGAAAACTCTGCTTTTCAAGGGAATGCAGTCCCCACTGAGTACCTTTTGTAAAACACCATTGAGCATGTGTCTCCACATGGGAGCAGTTCCTCCTACCTTTCCACTCTTAATTCTTTGTGATATGGCTGCAAATCGATGGTTGAGTTCTGACAGTTTAGGTTCTATTACTTTCCTGCAGTGATCTCCGCAGTTTGTCATCAAGTCTACAGCCTGGTCACGCACAAAGTCCACCTTTGGATGCATATCATTCAGCTCAGCCTTTAAGCGCTATAGTCCATGAGCAAGAGACAGGGCTTGAAGTTAGTAAGAAATGCAAAGAGAGAAAGAAAGAGAGACAGTGTGGAAAGAAATAGGGTGCAAAATCACAAGGCAAATTAAGACAATTATGAACAAGCACATTGTAGAGCTCTTGATGACATCCTTATTATCATCACTTAGGTTGCAAGAGAGAGAGAGAGACAGACAGAAAGACAGAGAGAGAGAGTATATGTATACATCTATTTAAAGATCTGGAAGAACATCTACTGGAAGACAATTGTGTACATATTTCTATTTTTTTTTCTGAATACCCTCTTTCTTGCAGTAATGTAATCCTAAGTAGAAAAGGTAATCTTTTTTTCACATCAGTGGAATTTCTATCATTACAGAATGTTGTATATATATATAAAAAAACAACTCATAAAGAGCCAGGTATACAAAAAACCCTCTGAAGTCATAATGAAGTTTCCCCTCTCAAGTCATAATGAAAGCCAAAGTTTTTCTTGCACCTGATACAAATTCATAATCAGCCATGGAAACAACAGGGTAGGCTCAACATCTGTTAACAACATTAGTATAACCCAAGGGTTGAAAGAGATGTCAAATGCTCTTAAAATTCCTTTGATTCTTGACTTCATGGCATGCATGGGAGATTCAAGGTAACAGTTCCAGTAAGTTTGTTATGTCCTTACAAGTCTCCAAGGATTCAAGTAGACAGATATAAGGGCTTTCCTCTTCTAACATCTGTCGTGGACCTCAAATGTAAATGTTAAGTCCTGATTTTTATTCCTACATAAGTGCTTCTGTGAATCTTGCTTTGTGAATGGTGCTTCTGTGAATCTTGTATCTGGGAGAAACTTGCATGTTTGTTACTTTCTTACTTTGCATGAAAAAAGAATATTCAAGTATTCTCCAGCAAGAGGCTACACTGTGGACTCCTGGCAAACACATATTTATGATGTTTAAGTTTGGCATATGAAATCACTGTTATCTGGTGGCAAGTGTTCTTGATTATGAGGAACTTTGGAAGGGGAATTCTAATATGCTACCAATACGTAACTGGCTTAAGGAAATGTTCATTTAATTCGCTAGATGCTGATACTATTATTAGCACCCCTAATTCTCATGTTCAAATATGCATTGCATTCGTAATACTTATGATCATAATGATAGGAGAAAATAGATTAAATATTGATAAATTAAAAAACAAATTCTCTCCCAATGCTCAGAAAAAGGGCAAATAATATCACCTGCCTCAACAAAAACTAATTCTAAAAGTAAGACCAAGGGGAAAGACAAGCGAGATAAGGTTCATAGGGGGCATGTCAGGAATGACAGGCTGCCCACTGTGGATGCTGACTGGGTGCAATACCAACTAGAAAAGTTAGACATTTATAAGTCAGTGGGACCAGATGGACTCCATCTGAGAGTGCTGAAGGAGCTGGCTGAGGTCATCGCGGAACCCCTGGCAAAGCTCTTTCAGAATTCATGGTGTACAGAGAAAATCCCTGAGGGCTGGAAGAAGGGCAACATTGTGCCCATCTTCAAGAAGGGGAAGAGGGAGAACCCAGGTAACTATAGGCCAACCAGCCTGGCTTTGTCATGGGCAGGTCTTGTCTTACCAATCTCATCTCCTTCTACAACCAGGTCTCTCACCACATGGACACATGAGATGAGGCAAACGTTATATACTTAGACTTCCAACAGGCTTTTGATCTAGTATCCCATGATATCCTTGTCTTGGAAGATTATGGGCTCAGCTGGTTGAATGGGTGGGAAACTGGCTACAGGGTAGGACCCAGAGATTTCTCATGAATGGAGCTATGTCATCCTGGCGCGAAGTGGCCAGTGATGTCCCTCAGGGGTCTGTGCTTGGACTGGTGCTTTTCAACATCTTTATCAATGATTTGGATGGGGTAGTGAAAAGCTTGTTGGCCAAGTTTGCGGATGACACCTAGTTATGGGGCAGTGTGGTCACATCAGAAGATAGGTTGCAGATACAGCCAGACCTAGACAGGCTCGTGAGTTGGGAAGATTAGAACCAGATGAAGTTTAACACTTCCAAGTGTAAGGTGCTCCATCTGGGGGCAAACAACCCTCAACATACATATAGGCTCAGTGGTGACAGCTTGACTTGCACCGTGACCAAAAGGGGCCTAGGAGTAATGATTGACCATCGCATGAATATGAGCCGTCAGTGCAAATAAAACGCTAGCATGCATCAACTGATGCATCTTGTGTAAAAGTAAGGAAGTGATACTCCTGCTGTACTCAGCACTGGTGAGACTGCAGTTGGTGTACTGCGTCCAGTTCCGGGCGGGCACTTCAATAAGGATGTGGAAAAACTTGAGAGAGTCCAGAGAAGAGCCACCCATATGATCAGGGACTTGCAACGCAAGCCATAGGAGGAAAGGCTGGGACCTGGGCCTCTTTAGCCTAAAGAAGAGAATGTTAAGAGGGGACTTGATAGTGGCTTACTGCTACATCAGGGTAATGCATCAGGAGCTCAGCGAACAACTGTTCACTAGGGCACTTTTGGAAGGCCGCTTCAGGTTTAATACCAGGAAAAACTCCTTCAGTCAGGGTGTCCACACTGTGGAATAAACTCCCTCCAGAGGTGGTACAGTCACCTACCCTGTAGGCCTTCAAGAGGAGACTGGACAGCCACCTCACTGGGGTCACCTAACCCCAGTTGTCTTCCTGCCTAGAGTTGGGGGGTGGGGTGGGGCTGGAGCTGATGATCTGCAAGGTCCCTTCCAGCCCCTAACAATCTATGAATCTAAGTAGGGCAACAAAGAGTTATGAGCTATGCACTGGCAGAATCTCTAACTATATTGGGCATTAGGATTTATACTGCACTGTCTAAAGTAAATGTTCTTGTGAATACGAAGATATACTAGCACTGATGGAAAGGATAACTGTACTTTGTATTGGCATATTTGTTCATCCTACTAAAAAGACTGTCCTGTTATCCTGCTGAGATCAATAAGGTATTGATTTATTCTCTCAATAAGTGCAGGTTGGAAAATTATGGCTGCCTTTGGAAGTTTTCAAGTTTTGCTTTAGAAGATAGGATCACTTTCTTAGCCTCAGCAAGACAACTCCCATTTTGACTTTGAGAACTCATCACTTAAAATGGAGCCCATAGCACAGAAAAATATCTAAGTCACACAATGCCATATGAATTTGCTTAGGTAAAACACATCCATACAGAGCACAGCTCAAGACATTGTGGCATTTGGTAAAAAAAAAAATACTTCAGACAACATGAAAACATTGAGTCGTATATGATTTTCAGTTTATCTGGAGTGCTAATTTTGATCAGTTACTGTGATGATGTCATAGGGCTAAACACTATCCGTGATCAGCATCTTTATATTTTTCAATGGAGGAGATGCAAATGCAGTACATATGCTATATAATAACCTTTCTATAGATAATAAATTTATTTCAGGATTGTGCTCAGTTATGAAGCTGTGTTGTCCGCATAATTGATGCTTGGAAAGCTAAAACATTGACATAATGTAAATATCAAATACATATGACTCATAAAAGAAGATAAAAGTGATTAAAAGGAGCAAACACAGAAAGAGGAGACTGTTTTTGCTAGATGTATTTGAGATAATATTCTCGGCAAAGATAGATCTGAAAGAATGGGCCAACATGAAGTCGTCAAAGCCTCAAAATAACATTTTTTTTTTCCTGTAAGGGCTTAACTGTTGCTATGCAGTGCAATATTATTAAGCTGCTGGAGGACAGGTTTGCAATGCAAAAAAAAAAAGAACATTATGATGTGCTTTGAAATATTTAGGTCAATAAAAGCTTAATGTATACCTTTTTTAGAATAAAAAATAACACTTTCCAGAAGATGACTTTTTTTTTTTACCTTTAGAACTTCCTCTTTTTGCTGAGGTTTTTGTTTCTCAGATTCATCCAACAGTATCTCAGCACGATACATCCATGTTGTGATGTTAGCTACATTCTGATCAAAAGTCTCCATATGCTTTTGATATTCCTACACATGAAAGAGATAAGTAGAACATATTAAAATAATTTGAACTGAAATAAAAATATGAAAGAGACATGAAAGATATGATTATGGAAACTGTGGCAAACATACTATAAGGCTTATTATTATTATATACCATATTTACACAAATCCAAAATGAGGTCTTGTCCCCCAGTTAGCATGGGGGGGAGGAGCCTTGTCTTGGATTTAAGTGCAGTCCTGGGAAAGGTGGCAGCTCAGCACTGGTGTTGGCCGTGGGCTCTAGGCTGAAGCCAGAGCTGAGTTGCTGCCCATCTCAGATCTTTTGGAATGGTTCTTTTGGTGGGGAAGAGGACACTTGGCAAGGGAGAGCATGGGATCATCAGGGGAACCTGCAGCCTGCTCCCCAAATACCCTCTATCCCATGTGCCTGTGCCCCCAAACACCTGATTGCTTCCCATCCAGATGATCCATCCCTCTTACCTTCTGCTCTCACTCCAGTCCCTCTAGCCCCAGCCTGGCCCAGTCAGGAGCTACTGATGTTTCTCCCTGGCTGGGCTAGGGCCAGCCAGGGCTACCTAGAGGTGCAGAGCTACAGCAGAAGGTAAGGGGATGGGGATGGGCAGAGGGGCAAGCACATTGTGGGGGGCAGGAGGTGGAGGACAAACTGTAAAGGGAGCAGGGGTGAGGAAGGCAGGGGTAGGTGGCAGACTGCAGGGTGGCGGGGTGCAGGAGCTGTGGGATGCAGCTAATGGGGAGGCAAGAAGAGGCACAGGGGCTGGGGACCAAGGGACAGGGGTCTGGGCCAAGCTGCCTGCCACTGCATTCCCAGCCACAGGGCAGAGGGCAGAATTTAAGATAACTAATTATCTTCAACTAATTAGATTACTTTCACTGAAGATGAAAACAAATTTATAATTTTTGCATGGACAGAATATAATTAGTGGGGTGGAGTGGGGGGTCATCTTGAAGTCTAAGTTGTCTTAGATCTGGGTAAATACAGTAGTAGAGTGTACACCTTTGTATACATGTGTGATATATAAATATGGTTTTTGCAGTGGAACAGCACTGAGAGTACAGCTAAGGTAGAGCTCAGCTTTTTTAACTTTGACCTGAAAGAAAAAGATGAATTAACACTAGAATAGACTATATTCTTTGAGATGTGTTATCTCCATATGTATTCACAACTGTGGTATGCTCGTGTAAGTCCAGGCTCTCAAGACCAGAGATTTTAGTAGTAGTATTGAACAGGTCATGCCCTTTTGCCTCAATGTCAGACATCACTGATATATAATGGAAGGTGGAGCATTTTGGCACTTGGTGCAGATCATGTGTTGTTATTTCACATTACTTTTATTTCATTTGGTACCCCCCATCCTGCCCCATATGAGGATACCCAGTACCAGTGTACTACTGGCACTGCCTTTGCTTTGGTACTTATGGTAGGTAAGATTCTCCTCATCATTGTTTCAGGAGATGAATATAGTACCTACAAAAATCTAGACTTCCACCTAAGTACTGAAAGTGTATCTTCAGAGAGCAGTGGGGGTTTAGGTTGACTAGAGCAATTACTAAGCTGGTTAATATTGTATGTTGCATCAGTAGCATGATCCACAAGAAGTGTAGTGACAGTTATTTTTACTGAGTAAGAATGATGTTGAAGCATACATGACCATATTAGTATACACTTAGTACTGAAGGCAACATCTCATTAAGTTGTCTGTAGGAGGGCCAAGATAAATCCTCAACGCGAGGCCCCAAGAAAAATGCCTGGGTTGGAACACCAAAGAACCTCCATATGCAGTTCAAGATCCCCCAAGACTTAAAGAGGGGTAAGGAAATAAACCCCTCCCTTTTAAAAAGAAAGGTTCTGGGTGACAACTTGCCCTTCATGTTCCTTCTGAATAAGATAACCTTTCCTTGACCATCTTTCCTGGGAGACTGGGCTGGAGAGAAGGATCTAACAACCTAGTGAATCTGAACCTAGCTTCCAATGCCCAAGGTTCCCACCCACGAAAAGTAATCCAAACCTGCTGTAAGACTAACATAACACAAAAACTGAGAAAGTGGTTGTTGGTCCTGAATAGTCCTTCATACCCTCAGAATGCTGTATGGAAGAACCAAATAGGTATTGTTAAGAAAATCTGTTTTCCCTGACACATGGAGGAGATGCACATGCAACATGGAAATTCATACTAGGACAAGAACTTAAAGAACTAAAAGCTGTGGTTCTGATGTCTATATCCATGTGTTCTGTTGTGGGTAAGCAAAAGTTTAATGATCACAGAGGATTTTCAATGAAGCATCACAAGAAATGCAAGATTGGCCCTCTATGCCTACCTAAAATGTAGGTTTGGTACATACAAAACACAATTTATCTTACCAGCAACAGGTTGAACCACTCCTCAGCTCGAGAAGTTACTGCTATCCAGTTACTGTTCAGGAGGCTGAGTTTATCATCCACAAGACTTTCCTTTCCTTTAAGTACAGGTCTCAAACCCTCTCCTAAATCAGTGATGCTTTTAAGATGCAGCTGGCGTTTCTCAATTTCCTTTTGTGTTGCCTATGGAAAGCATATCCAGAATGATTACTTCATCAATATCAAATATTGATTTGATATAGAACATAGCAAGAAATTTAAAATTGCAGTTGTGTCCACACTGTGACTGTTTAATACAAAATGTTAAAACTACTACAGGAAAGTAATGGAAAAAAAAACCCACACCTTTACAAAACTACTTTTTAAACATGCCCAGTAAGTAGTATGCAGAATAATCCAAACTTACGGAAGTCCTTTGTCTCTTAAAACATGTTAACAATGTCTTAGATCCTCAAAGGCATATTTTAATAATCTCTTTATTTCAGAGAGTGAGCTTTACTTGCCATAATGGGCTTTAATATATAGTTGTCATGTTTAATGCAAGATATACAAATTTCACACTTAGAATTTTTGTTTTACTTAGGTCAAAGCTGAAAATTTATGTTTTAAATCTGTAAATATGTTACCAAGACTGTTGGCTTGTGTAAGTGGGTTTTTGCTCGCTCACTGATGAGCACCTCAGGCAGTCCTTTCAAGTAATGCAGCTTTTATGCAACACACAAGCCAACAAATACACAAACAGAACAGAACAAAACTCTTCTGCCTTGTCCTGGGCACTCAAGGAGGAATTCCTTGGCTCATGGCTCTGGACACACCCTGCCTGTTCTTTTGGGCAGTGGTTCTCAACCTTTTTGTACCAGGACCCATTTGTAAATATTGATGGCTAGTCCTGACACAGTGCCCCTTGCTCCTGGCCCACTGCCCTCTGCCCCCAGCCCCCAGCCCCACAGTGTGTAGTGCAGGGGGTGGGGGTGGGGGCCAGGGAAAGGATGTGGGGCATGGGGGGTTCCAAGCAGCCCCTTGCAGGCTGGAACTCTGCCAGCCTGCAAGGCAAAGGCCATGGTTTCCCATGTTTTTCTCTTTCTAAGGAGAATCCATTTCTAAAGATTGTTTGCGACCCTTTTGTATGTTCTTGCAACCCACTTTTGGGTTATGACCCACAGTTTGAGAAATGCTGCTTTAGTGTACCCATCTCAGTCTGTATTACCTTCTTTCTTGCAGCCTGCTGGCAGGAACTTCTCTCTTCCCACAAGTCTAAGCCCTCTTGTCCCTGCTGTCTCAGGGGACATGGTTTACCTTCAGGTGCCTTCTTGATCGGTCATATATGTGGCTTCTTAGCTCCCTGAGCAGCCTACTTCCATTTGTTGCCACTTCCTTAGTGGGGCTGCATCTGCTTCTCTGCTACTTAGTCTCAGTTCTGCTCTATCGTCCTACTGCTGTGCAGCTCGCTCTTACATCATGTCTACTGACTATACAATTCCACATTGAATTCCAGGAGTCCCCCTGGCTCCTTATTTACCCTGTAGCTCATTCTTGCTCCACTATCTGTATCTGATAGCCAGTCTTTTCTCTTAAAGCCGGCCTTTTCTAACCCCTGCTTACAGTGTAAAACATGCCAGATCTATCAATTTAGCCATTCACTCTGCAAATTTGTGACAAAATACAAACAATTTACAAAAAAAGGCCCTATTTAAACTAGTTTCATGAGCAAACGTAGTGTTACACAGTGGTCACAACTAGGACCACTCATTACTTGCTAACTACTCTGGGAGAGGTACAGTATCTCTCTCCATCTAATGGACAATAAAATCAGTTATTGGGAAAAGTCTCAAGATGCTGAAATGGTGCCCCATGCCTGCCCCCCCCCCCCCCCCCCCCCCCCCCAGCTGAAAATGGCAAAACTCAGGGTTTCGCGTTCATTAAATAAAGGTCTTGAGTTACACACAAAATAAAGTGAGCAGGAAGTAGGGGCTACAGTCAGCAATCACCAATGAGAAAACAGAAGTCTAGGAACTTTCACACATCCCTAAACACTCAAAAGGAGAGTTTTTCACCAACTGAGAGTCTGACATGATGCAAAAGACAGTGCTTATACCCAGGCTTTCCTCCTTCAGTATCACACTTGCCATAATCAATCCCACGTTATTATGCCTCTATTAATATTATGTTGTCAGTGAAAATATAACTTGATAAATGTGCAAAAATTACTCCCTTTGGTATAACAGTGTTTCTACGACATTTCCAACTTCATTTGGCAGATGTTACACTTACTTTGAACCAGCTGCTTGATGCACATACTGCACCAAATTAATGATCTGATATTATCATTTTGTTTCAAAGATAAATTGTCATACTTACATTTCAGATAAGGATAAGAAGTTTTTAGTATTCTACCAACTTACTCAAGTGATGAGAAGTGTAATAACAGAATATAAAGAATATTAGTGAAGAAAATGTGAACCATATTCTTTCATTTAAGGTACTATAGTACTTGAAACTGTATTAAAGTACAGATTGTTTCGATTTCCAGTTTGGCTAGGAGTAATGCAGGATCACTCATTTCTAGAACTATTTACTCTATCTGCATTTTGGAAACCAAAGATACCTAATATTTTTTCACAAAAAATGTTTGACTTCAGCTTTGGGTGAAAATTCAAGCTACCTTTTTATTTTATCTGAATAATCTATCAATCCATAGATTGAAGGTATTTTGAACACAAAAGCTTGTTTTAAATTAGAACCCATCTTCATTTTACATACATGAAAATGGACAGATAATGTTTAGATTTCAGAGTCAAATCTCATTAATTGGAACTATTACCCAAAACCAGATATATTTTTAAGGTGTGACTTAAACTCTAGTCTGAGCACATACATTCAGCAGAGCTGCCACCCCAATCTAATTAATACCAGGGATTGTCCATCTTTACTGTTCCTCTCAATTTAAAAAAATAAAAAGGCATTGGTCAACTTAGTGCTTATTCTGTGCTCTGGGCACCCAGACATGAAAATTAACCATCTTGTATGTTGGTCAGCATAACATATATGATTGTTAATTCCACCAGAGGGCACTAGGCAATCAAATAGGCTCCATACTGCTCTTAACAAGCAAGCACCGAAAGGCTGAATAGAACAAAATTACTCACCTTTCACATATATGATTATTTAAAGGGTTTAGGGGTAAAGTCCTGATTACCTAGAATTCAAAGGCAAAATTCCCACTGATTCCCATTGATGGGAATTGCATGCTATTCCATTTTTTTGGACATGCAGAAATTCTGAGCTGTATATATTATAGTGTATATTTAAAATACTATATTTTCTCACATTTAACATGCCCCTGTGTATATAGTATACACCTTGATTTTTGAGGGTGAGCCTGAATAAATTAAAGATCTTTGATTATATTTAAGTAAATGGCAGCAGCTAGGGAGCTAAGTTTGCTCTCAAGGCTGCTGCCAGCCCATCACGCTGGATAAGACCTGAAGATAGATTTGGCCTGGCACATGGTCCCAGAGCCGCCAGGTAGTCCTAAACCTGGCCCCAAAGCCAGAACCTAGCATGGGGCTCCAGAGCCAGCAGAAAAGGTCATACCCAACATGCTAGGTATGGGACTGCATGCCAGGTTGGACCTGGTCAGTAGGCCTGTGCAAAGCGGCAAGTATTTGCTTCGGATTCAGCTGATTCTGAGAGACAGTGATTCGATTTGGAGATTTGAATCACTGGCTGCTTTGATTCGGCCAAATTAGATCCAAAGATTTGGCACTGCTTTGGAGATCTGGCCATAGACTAAACAGGCAGCAGTGCTCATCATGCTGGACACAGCTGCCTCCAACGTTTATCTGCCCCACACAGCAAGGGAAGGACCGGGGCTGGCCAGCTGGGTTGGCAGGGTGTGGGACTTGGAGAGGAGGTGGTGGAGGGGTGCGAGATGCTCATGCAGCGCTGCTGGGAGTGAGGGCTATGCCCTGCTGCTACTTGCACAGCCGGGGCGGGGGAGACGGGACACAATGAAGGCATGGCTCGCTTCAGGTGGAAGGCGGAAAGTGGTAGCAGAGCATAGCCCCCACTCCCAGCACTACCACACCCGCATCCCATGCTCCCTGCCCTGAGTCCCGTGCCCTCCCACCTCAGCTGGATAGCTTGTCCCAGCCCCAGCCCCAATCCCTCCCTCACTGTGGGGGCATTTATCTGCCCCCCACTATGCCCCTTTCCTCCCCTCTCCACCCACCACAACAGACTTACCAGCTGGAGGCAGCTGTGCTCAGCGTGGTGAGGCCGAAGAGTCTATGGCCGAATATCCAAGGCAGCCAAATCTTTTCTGAATTGATTCAGAGGCTTCCAATTCGATTTGGACCTTTTAACTGGTCTCCTGATTAGATTCAAATTCAGAGATTTGGCCGCCAAATTGGGCTGGATCTCCTCCGAATTGAATCGGCTACCGAAGCTTTGCACAGCCCTACTGGTCAGGTGCAGCCACAGAACAGCTCTGTGAAACAGCCAAGCAGTTGGGAAGGGGGCTCCCCATACGTCTGGAAATTTGTTGGGGGGGGGGGGGGGGGGGGGGCATTGCAATTAACATGGCCATCATTTCACTGCCTCTAGCCCCCAATCCACCACCAAATTTCTAGACCCATGACATCTGTTGTGCTCACATATAATGTCCTAATTTCCCCCAGATGGTTTTGGGGAAAATACAGTACTGTGTACTTGGTTCCCCTAATGAGCTTGATTTGTTTGGTTCATTTCCATGATTTATTTTCTTAATTTGAAATTTTCATCTCAATCTTCAAATACCTGCCTTTTCAATATAACTGCAATTAAACTCTGTGTGTATTTTCTCTACATTAATCAGACAACTTTGGTCATTTTCTGTAACACAAAAAGAAATGGGTATAATTTTAATAAAAATGCATATATGTTTTCTATATATGTATTAAAAAGATTGAGATAAATGTGTAATGATACCTTTGCAACATTACCTGTATTTATTTTACTAAAACTCCACAAGCAGCTTTCAAAATCTGGTAATTTTGATCAGTGAGTTCCATTATTCAAGAAACTGGCATTCATTTATTACATTCCTTTCGTGATTAAGAGGGCATGAAAGAAAATGTTTCAAAATATGAGGCAACTTCAAAAAAAGTTTTACAGCCCTTCAAGCAATCACACTGATTTGAGAT